ATGCCGGCGGTGGTGGGGCGTAGGTAGCAGAGTGCCGATACGCGGCTGCCGACTAGTGCCGACCGCGCGGTAAAACATCGCCGCTCTCCTACTCTCGCAGACGCTCGCGGACTGCCAGACATAATGGAGCATCGCGTCTTGTCACGGCAGTCGTTCGCGTTTCGCTCACCCCGAATCAAATTTCTAGCGGACCCGCTTACTCGCCGCTTCGAAGTCTATCTTTCGCGCCTACGTTTTACCCGGCCCGTCGAAAACCAATCTCGAGAGAGTGGCGCGCGCGCGAAACCTTGTCTTTTCCTCGCCGATGACATATAATTCGTTTATTTACTCGTACGCTCGTAGAGAACTTTACTCGCTCGTAAGTGGATGAAATCGAAGGTTATTCGCCGAGACGTACAGCCGCGAATTAAGGTCGTGTTTATTCGCTTAAGAACACACGGATTATAGTTACGGTTATAGATGCTCGTCGCGTCACGAGCATAAAAGCGTTACTACCATAACTCGTCTATTTACTTGGAAATTCGCGGAACACGAGCCTCGTGTCGTACGTATTTACGTACGGTAAGACGGACTGGAACGTTTCTCGCGCCCAACTTCCCGTACAGCGCACAGATCGCTCCGTTGTTTCGTAAACTACGACGACGAAAGAACGTAGCGGCGAAGAAAAGCTCGATATTCCGCGCGAGACGTAACGAGATAGAAATCGCAAGCGTCGAGGATAGTCGTTGTTCGATCTGATTCTCTCGGAAATTCCGAAACTTTGCTTAAAACGCGCTCGAATCCCAGAGATAGACGCGTTTATAAGAGGATACGCGACACTTGGCGGTACGCTTGCTTCTTACGCGCCATGTTCGAGCTCGGCGAGCTTCTAAAATAAAGCGATCGATGGTAGGAACGCGTTTCAGCCACTTACCTGAGGTAAATTTGTTTAAGGCCAACCCCGCTGTTCACGCAGCCGTTGGGTAGATGGAATTGTTCGCATAACGATGCCCACTCGTTTCTGGTATTCACCTGCAACACGAAACACCGCAGAAACGATTCAGTACGTCGTACCTACGTATCGTCCACGTTTGCGAACAAACGCGAAGGAACGATCAGCGTCTTTCGCTTCGTCGAAGCTTCGTCGAAGCTGCGTATATTCTCCGCGACCGAGAGACCGTCGTCGGTTTTCGATCGAGCGCTACGCGTTGAAGTAAGCGGTGAAATTTGCCTGTAAACATCCTCGTCTCCGAGAAAATCGAATTGAAACGTCGGTAAAAATTGCTTTCCACCGATTTGTTTTATCGACCAAGCCAACCGTCGGACGCGACTCCGTTCGATGGCAGGGAAAAACAGCGTTGTTCGCGCCAACGATCACCACGTAGAGCAAAAAGTATTCGCACTGCTCGGGAACACGGATCGG